AGTAGTTAAGATAACACTAAAATGGTTACAATAACTATTAAATTTACTAGTGAAAGTATCCACCTGGGGTTATTTTAACTTTTTGTTTTTACAGTGTAGGGCTACCTGATTGGAATCCAACAGTTGTGTTACTAGTAGATCCATTCCCAGCTTTATTAGTAGTTGTAATGTTAAACAGATATTGTTTATTGGTTAGGTTCATTGGACAGTAAGTGTAGTTAGTGATAGAGTCATTAAGGTACTGTTGATCAGTTCCTACACTGATTATATACTGTACTGTTAGTCCTGGTAGTGTGAATGGAGGATACCAACTGATAAACATACAACAAGAATCTAACTGATATCCTGTTAAATTACTGACACTATCAGGAGGACCAGGGGAATACGCATAATAATTAACATAAATATGCTTTTGTATTCACTAACCTTGAACATAAAGATAAGCAGTTGCAGTAGCATTTCCATCATTACTAAATGCTTTGCAGGTAACATCAGTTCCATTTGATGCATTTGTTGCTGTTAGATTAAATGATATCAACCTTACACCATTGGGTAGTATTTTAGATATTAGTGAAGATGGTGGTACTCCTCCAATAAAAAAAATATGCTATATTCAGTCCCATTAGTAGCACATTCAAATGTCACAGTATCATTGATATAAACATATTGTGTTACTGGTACAATAGTGAACATACCTATAAGAACAACATACAATAATAAAAATAGTAAAGTAGATATACCAGCAGCAATAGTCAGAAATTGAGACAGTACTAGAGCCACAAAAGTAACCATTATTCTTGAAGGTGTGGGCTTTCCTAAATAAACTTCCTTTGGGTGTACTTTTGAAAATAGACTGAGGCAGACCCTATACAGATCTAGTGATGATAAAGGGACACAATACACAGAGCAAGAAGAATGTGTATGGGAGTGACAATTAATGTCTGATGTATACATATGACAACTGAAAACAACTACAATGTATTTGTTTTAGAAAAAACAATTGATACTGCTACAGTAAGTTTCAGTTATCCATTAGTAGTTGTTTATATCATAGAATATTACATTCTAGGTATATACACCTTATGAATACACCTTATGAATACACCTATACACCTTATGAATAATTACAGTTATATGAACACACATAATGTGTCAAAGTCTCAAGTTAATAAACCATTATAGTCCAGTTCCCTCAATAACACCATAAGCAGGACATTCCTTCAATGATAGTACTGATTGTGGGGCTGGCATGTTCTCATACTGTGGATTAACAACTGGTGATGATAGTTCTTGTACTTGTGAATCTACAATACAATTTATCACAGGAAACTGTCATTGAAACTTAGTATTACTTTGATTATCCTTCCCTTTCCTCTTGTAGTAGCACACAATTAAAGTAACAACATTTATCACTACTGATAATATGAGGAATAATCCTGATACACCAAACAATAATGCTATACAGTATTAAACTATTGAATTAATGAATGTATAGATATTAATGCTTACCACTAGAAACAAGTACTTCATTTTGATTTTTCAATAGCATAGAATCATTTATAAACACTGTTGATGAAACTTGTATTGTCACAGATACTACAGTAGGTTCGCCACTAATATCAAGTGTACTTTTGCTATTATCAGGAGTACAAAATGTATTCTTGCTAATATTGATACCAGTTAATACAGCAGCAGGAGTAGTAGTACACTCCTCCAGTGATTCACATGCATACAGTGTTAAGTTATTACCAGCTGGTATGTCAGTGATGCACTGAGTAAAGTTCAGTTGATCATTACGAGATATATTGTAATACACCAGTTGATAAATTGGATCAGCATAATCTGTAATGTGAATATAAACATTGTTAGTTGTACTGCCATTGACAAAATGGAACTCAAGACATATTCCATTGATTGTAGTATTAACCAATTTAAGTTGACGAAGTTCATTGGTACCTGATAATAATAACAAGCAATAATAATTTCATTATCTACTAACTGATTCTGACGGAGTTGCTGTAAAATTTTACTCCATTTTGATAGTATAAGATGACAGTAGTATCCAGTATCTCTCTTGATGGAAGATTTATAATAACAATAATGGAAATGTTATCATAAGCACTACTACTAATGGATATGTTTGTTGATGAATAACAAGTGCTGTGTTGACTAACAGTACAACAAGTTACTGTAATATTAGCAAGTGATCCAGTACATATTTGATAATCCTGTATCAACAATATAATGGTTATTGTGTGTATGGAATTGTGTATAATGCTTACTGGTAAAAGGAATTGTAAACTCCAGTTGTTGTCCATGTGATATGTAGATTCTTGATGAACGATTGAAATTTTTGAATCTAACACATTTGAAAATAGAAAATTATTTTATTTTGTTATAGGCCTACCTAAGTGAAATTCCACAGTTATGTTACTAGTAGATCCATTCCCAGATTTATTAGTAGTTGTAATGTTAAACAGATATTGTTTATTGGTTAGGTTCATTGGACAGTAAG